TTGAAAGCATAGCAGGTCTTTTTACTGTTTTGGAATAATTGCTTCTTTTTTGCTGAGTGGCATTTCAGTCCATATGAGTACAGGTTTCCTTGTGGATTATCACACTCACTCAGGTTTTTTGCTTTTCTTATCTTATCCATTACTCTGGTAGTTAACAAAAAATAATAAGACTGTTATTAATAAGATTTATTTTTTATACCTGAAACAGGTAAAAGGTATCAAAAGAGGGTTTTTTTTCATACAATCCAATGTCATAATGTTTTTCTGATACCAAATTCTGACTTCTGCGTGCAATCTAATTGTATTTCCAACTTTTAATTTGACCTTCTTGACCTTTATTGTCCTGTCAAATAAGTCAAGTTGAGTTAAGAAGAGCCTCAGTTAGTAAACCTGTCGCTTCATTGTTTTATTGTTAAAACTACAAAACAAAATTCCTCCAGCAAATTGGAATATTTCCTTATTTAACTGCAGGAATTGAGGGGAGAAAAAAAACTATGTCTATGTCTTTTTATTCAGTGTATGTAAACTTCTTGCTTCAAACTGTTAAAAATATATTTTTTAAATGGTGCAGTGATAAATTTCTAACTGCTTTTAACTCCAAGAATCAGTGGCACATATTCAGTTAAAAATATTTTTATTTAATTAAACAATGAAAACTTGTTTTCATGGTTTACTTACCACAACTGCCATCCAATGGTAAAATTAATATATATTACATACACACAAAATCAAATATTCAACCTATTAGTGATGTCAAGAGGGAATCAAAATTATTTTATTTATGTGGATGAACACAAACATAGCCAACCATCCTTCACAAAATATATAGGAAGGTCAAAGCAAAGACGGCAAATGCTTTCTCTCTTTCCCTCACTCTTCGTTTATGTTCTATATTTATTTCTCCGTGTGAGTCATCTGCTCAAACCCAACCCATCTTTGGTGCGGCTGCCGTTTCCTTCATCTGCCTGCCCCTCTTCCCTCCCTCCTTCCCTCGCCTCCTGATCCTGCCTCAGAGCGTCATCAGGTTGCCACAGCAACGGCCCGCCTATGGGAGACAGAGATCAGATCATTATGGACCATGGGATCCAGAAACTGAAG